CCCCAAAACCCCAAAACCCCAAAACCCCAAAACCCCTTTTGAGACTTTTTGATTGAATTTTTTGCAGTTATTGTTCAGAATCATCCTCTTTGGCTCCTGTGGTCTGGTCTTCAGTTGTACTCGAGGCACCTTCTTCAGATGGCTCTGGAACGGTCATTTGTAAGATATTATCTAAAATCCGTTAAGCTACTCACTTACCTAATTTCTTCTGAATTTCCTCATTCTGGGTCTTTCCTTCTTCAGTGACTTCCTCCTCTTGCATACCCTTAGCAAGGGCTTCTTCTAAAGTAGGATTTCTCATTAGCTCTGCTATCTTTGCCCTCTTCTCTTCATTAGTAAGCTCATCAAACTTGTCCTTATTGATTTTAATCTCAGAGAAAGACATTTCGTCCATGCTGTCTTCCTCAATGGGTGTTAAATTAGACAGTATGCCTTTTGCTGCCAACTTCTTTGGCATCTTGGCTCGAACTTTCATCTTCAGGATCTCGAAATCATCCAATTTAGGATCTTTTTCCTCTTCGTCCTCGCTCTCTTCTTCCTCAAGATCGTCTAGATCCTCTATTTCTGCTTTTTCTCTATCAATTTCTTCCTTAAGCTTAGCCATTTTGAGCCTGAGCTGGTCTCTGTTCTTCATCAGCACTAGAGTTGTTAACGATCAAAAGAGGATTCGGACAATTTGAAAATGACAATAATGTGGGAAAGGGCTTACTTTTATCCTCTTCGGTCTTTACAACCTCATTCTGCTGGTCATAGTTCTGTTCTAATTTCTGGTAATGGTCGTAAAGCAATTCCTTCCTTCTGAAAGTGACAATCCTGACCATATCCCTATTACGATCGATTCTTTTCTTGATTTTTAAAAATCCATCATTAAGCTCTTTGAACTCGCTGAGGCTCTGGAATGCATCCCAGTTCTTTTCCTTCTGTTCCTTTCTATCAAGACCACTCTCTTCGAGGTATTCCTGCATGAGTTCGTCTTCAAGCTTGGACTTGAGCTCTTCTTCCTGCTTCTTCTCTTTAAGTTTAGAGAGGTATTTGGATACATCTATCTTCACAACACCTTGGTAGTGCATCCTCTCAGCTACATTAACAGGGACATCATCCAGGTCTTCCAGCTTGGTGAGAGCGAGCAAGGCGATTTTACGGTAATCTTCAACCTCACATTTCTCAACACAAGGGTTCTTCCATAGTTTTAGGATGATCAAAGACTCTGGCAGGTTGTCAAAAGGAAACATAGCGATCTTATTGTATGACAGGTTGAGGTAATACAACTTCTGCATACTTTTCAAGGATGGGATACTTGTAATTCAGTTGTGATGTAGCGCTAAGAATTCTAAATTCGTCAACTCACACAGTGGCTCGATATCAACTAGCTTGTTATGATGAAGATACAGAGATTTCAAGCACTTAAACTGAGCCAAGAGATCTATTCAGGTAAGATTCTGGAATTCCAAGTGCAGTGCTTCAGTTTGGTACAGCTTCTCCAGTGGCATTTCTGTTTTAACAATCTCTTTCTTGGTTTCCTCCTCCTCATCTTCTTCAGACTCATCTTTGCCTTCACCCTCTTCAGCTTCCTTAGGCTGAGACTTGATCTCTCTGACTGTTTCGATGTACCCGTATTTGCCTAGGATCTGTCTGACTAACCTCTCAGTGACTTCAACAGTCTGGTTGCGTTTGCGTTCAATTTCTCTTAACTTATTTTTCAAAATCGCTGATCTTGTCATCTAGGAATTCACCGTATTCCTCTTCATTCATGATGGGGAACTCTTCCTTCTTAGCTGGAGATTTCTCTAAACCACAAGTAAATTAACCTGCAAGAGCAGCAGAAGAGCTCAAGATGAGCTCTTCAAAGGATTTTAGAGTAAAATTCCAAATGGGTTATGTTTTAAAGCAAATAAGATGGAGCCCTTACCTGATTTTTGCCCTTTCGCCCCTTTCTTCTTGGTTTTAAGTGGTTTTTTTGCCTTTGAATTCACATTTACCTTCTTTTTAGCAGCCGCTTTCTTGCCTATAAGTTCATAATGAGTGACAGGAATTGGCTTAATGAATAACCTTCCACGACGAATAACTTCTTCATTCAAAGGAGTCTATGTAGAATTATGTTGAAAATTATGATAATTCTCTAAAGATTAATGCGATTAGTATTTAGAACTGGCCTTTAGAATTCAAAATCCAAGAGCCTTCTCCTAACTATCATTACGGTGATCTGATAAACTGGTACTTACCTTGCTTGGAATCAGGCTTCTTCTTAACATTCTCTTCTAAACAAGGGTAAATTATGAGAATTTCTCTGAAAATATCAATATTCAGGCTATTAGTAAGCCTAAATGGATCCTCAAAGCTTACTGTTTTCCATATTTAAAAAATTCAAATTTAATAATTATTTTGGGGTTTTGGGGTTTTGGGGTTTTGGGGTTTTGGGG